ACGAACAATATTATTTCACGACCATAGCCCGGCTCTATATATTTTAACTTTTGTTGACCCATTCCCAATTCATTCTACTACACATTTACAGTTTTTTTTTTTTTTAATATAAACGAATAGACGAACAGATTATGAGTCAAAGTCAAGCCAATATCCGAATTCCGAAATATGTAAACTCTCATATTTTTAATAATGAAGACTCATAGAAAAATCTTTCGCTACACTCGAGTCACTAGACTAAAATACTCTTTGATTAGTTTTAGTTTTTTTTATGTTGTCAAAGACTTTAGTTTTCTTCTAAAAAAAAAGACTTTAGTTTTAGTCTTGCATATATTACGGTGATACATATAGCAGATATTCTGTCAAAAAAAAAGAAATAGCGTAACGATGCGCTAATAATCACATGAAATAACATTTGTGATTGTTAAAAAAAAAGATTCATTCATAAGACTCCTACTAAACACACATGCTGCCGTTTTTATATTTTAAATTAATCTTAATCTTGTATGAAAATGCATAGTATTTGTTAGAGAAAAGATTTGTAGTATAAATAAATTGGTACAAGAATGTTTATGGCAAGATAAGTCCCGGAAAAATTTATGCAATAATCTTTACTAATCGAACGTTTTTACTCTTTTGATTGTAGTCCTAATTAATTACTATCATTCCGAATAATTGACCAATTAACTTCAACTTAAGTGGCACATGATTTCTTTCTCATAAGTGCTTTCTCGTGATTAGCAGATTCAGTGGCTCTTTCTTTTATTATGGATATAAATTCTCTTTATTTTAATCCTTATACTGTTCTCCTTTTCATTAAATTTTAAACAAATCTTCTGTCAGTCTTTTTTTAATTTTATTTTTTAAAAGCGTGCATGGCTAATTTTGGTAAATCAGTTATTCTTATCAAATCTCGAAATTGTGATAATACTATGGTCTCTAGAGATAAAACCCATTAGGCATGCATCACTATTTTGGGACACACGTTATTGTTATCCAAATACATTTTTATATTTTATTTTACGTTAACAAAAGAGATGATAATTTTCTAATGCATGCAAACAAAACAAAATAAGCAGTGGAAAAGAACTGTAGTAATTCCTACAATTAATTATACTATTATTTTTCGTCCAAATTCCAATGGGTTTGATTGGTAACTTCTTTTGCAAATGAGGTACCTTCCAACCGCCCATTTGTTACCAATCAAACGGTCGTTTGAAACGAGCGGTTGAAACGGTTATTTGCAAAACGAAGTTATAAACGGACGATTTATAAAAAAGTTGCTTGA